AATTACAGCTGCAAGTCTTTTAGGGTATGTCTCCACCAGCTTTGCACATCTAGTGACTGCAATTCTTGCCCATTCCTCCTTGCAAAACAGCTCAAGCTCAGTCAGATTGGATGGAGAGCGTTTGTGAACAGCAGTTTTGAGATCTTGCCACAAATTCTCAATTGGGTTTAGGTCTGGACTTTGACTGGGCCATTCTAACACATGAATATTCTTTTTTTTAAACCACTCCATTGTAGCTTTGGCTTTATGTTTAGGGTCGTTGTCCTGCTGGAAGGTGAACCTCCGCCCCAGTCTCAAATCTTTTGCTGACTCCAACAGGTTTTCTTCCAAGATTGCCCTGTATTTGGCTCCATCCATCTTCCCATCAACTTTGACCAACTTCCCGGTCCCTGCTGAAGAGAAGCACCCCCAGAGCATGATGCTGCCACCACCATATTTGACAGTGGGGATGGTGTTTTCAGAGTGTTCTTTCTCCGCCACACATAGCGTTTTGCATTGTGGCCAAAAAGTTCAATTTTGGTCTCGTCTGACCAAAGCACCTTCTTCCACATGTTTGCTGTGTCCTCAACATGGCTTCTGGCAAACTGCAAACGGGACTTCTTATGGTTTTCTTTTAACAATGGCTTTCTCCTTGCCACTCTTCCATAAAGACCACATTTGTGTAGTGCACGACTAATTGTTGTCCTGTGGACAGTTTCCCCCACCTGAGCTGTGGCTCTCTGCATTTCATCCAGAGTCACCATGGGCCTCTTGGCTGCCTCTCTGATCAGTGATCTCCTTGTTCGGCCTGTAAGTTTAGGTGGACGGCCTTGTCTTGGCAGGTTTACTGTGGTGCCATACTCTTTCCATTTCCGGATGATGGATTGAACAGTGCTCCGTGAGATGTTCAAAGCTTGGGAAATCTTTTTATAACCTAAGCCTGCTTTAAACTTCTCCAAAACCATATTCCTAACCTGTCTGGTGTGTTCTTTGGACTTCATGATGCTGTTTGCTCCCCAATATTCTCTTAACCAACATCTGAGGCCGTCACGGAGCAGCTGTATTTGTACTGAGATTAGATTACACACAGGTGGACCCTTTTGAGTCATTAGCAGTCATCAGGCAACTTCTGAATGCAATTGGTTGCACTCAGGGAAAAGGGGGCTGAATACTTTTGCACGTCGCACTTTTCAGTTTTTTATTTGTAAAAAATGTTTTGATTCATGTAAAATTTTGCTTCCACTTCACAATTGTATACCACTTTGTGTTGGTCTTTCACATTAAATTCCAGTGAAATATATTTATGTTTGTGGTTGTAATGTGACAAAATATGGAAAAGTTCAAGGGGTATGAATACTTTTGCAAACCACTGTATATATATAACTTGTACATTTTTTTAAATTTACACATGCAATTTAGAGCTCATTATTTGTGATCTTAATAGATCATACCCTATTAGTTATGACATATTGGCAATACATGTTTTCAAACCATTCTTTACCATCTGGCAAACAGTTTGGAACAATACGATCCCATACCAGCAGGCTCAGTAATCTCTTCTTCCCAAGAGCTGTGCCCCTCACCTACACCTGCTAAAATGCCCCCGCTCCCATAACATCACCATCTCATACACTTACTTCTCTGGCTAATAAATGTGCTCTATGTAGAGTTTTTTTATAAACACCATAGTGTGTCACATTTGTTGATATAATATGATTTCAGTGTGCTCTGTACAATGACAATAAAGGTCTATCTTATCTTATCTTATCTTATCTCATCTCGTCTCATCTCATCTCATCTCATCTCATCTCATCTCATCTCATCTCATCTCATCTCATCTCATCTCATCTCATCTTATCTTATCTTATCTTACACTGAACTGTAAGTGACTTACATTTCATTGCACACCATTACTGTCAACTGCGAAGGAGGACACAACACAATAACATGCAAATCCCTAACCCTTAAAATTGTACACACAAACCTGTTTATTACGTTTAATTTCACTGTACAATCAACATGTGCATAATGAATTATACAAATCTGCAATGTTACATTACATTCACCCACTGAAAGAAATAAGAAACCATGCATAAATATAACTGCAGTTGATATTTCAAGAACTGTAGACACTGTACTATTTTTTATTTTAATCTTTATTTATTTTATTGTCTCATTTCACTGTAATGCATTGATATGGATAATTTAATTGTACACGAACGAGTATGATGACAATAAGTTATTTCTTTAAAAAGTTCTTCTAAAACTCTGTAATTGGATCACAATATAATATTTTCTGTGATGTGAAATGATGCACTGCAATGTGATGAAATACATTACAATATTATCACATTATATCATATTGTTATGATGTAATGTGATAAAGTTTGATACATTTCAGTTCAAAATACAATATAATAAACATATTTTATCTTGACTTGAAAAATAATGATTTGTACTTAAAGATTTCTCTATATTTTGCTTTACAAAATTAATTGACTGTATTTATAAAAGAGAACATTGCGTTGTGTCTTATCTCATGGAAAAGCTCCGAAGTCTGGCACTGAAAAACAGATTTGGATGATTTTATCTGCTTCTTGCAGTGTGGCACATTATCTGTTAATTGCTCTGTCTATGGGTGTGAGATTTGTCGCCTTTGCAGTCATTTCACAGTATTTGCTCACAGTTCCCATGTGCATCAGTAAAAAAAAAGACAGATTAGTGACAGTAGCGTTTTAGGAGTTTGAGTCTTGTGTTTTGTGTGCTTTTTCTTTTTGTGCCAGAAACAGAAAAATTTTGAGCCCTTTTCCACAAAACAAAAAAAAAATAAAAATAAAAAACAAAATAAAACTTGAAGTTTTAGATGACTGTTGACAAACTGCCTCCTAAACACTGAAAGAAAAAGAGAGGGAAAAAATGAGAGGAGGATGAAAATAGCATTTGCTRTTGAGGCAGCACTTACTCCCAACCAAGAGGAGGCCATTCACACTTATTCAACTGTGGGCCATGRCCTCAGATTTTGAGGTACTSATCCTCATCCCACCTGCTTCAACTTGACTACAAATTKCTCCAGTAAGAGCTGAAGATCATAACACGATGACACCAATTTCACCACATTATACACAAATAACAGATCCTGAGGTCACCAAACTAGACCTCTTCCACCACCCTGACTGCACCTGTCCATAAAAGAGATAAACATAATGGTGAGGACAGGCAGCCCTGGCTGGCTCTCACCCAGAAGGGTTAAGACTTAAGAGCTCAGCATGGTCGATCGACAGCCAACGTGAGGTCATGTGGTGGCATGAGGTTCGTTTTTGTACACACCTTCCATAGTCCGAGACACACGGAGCTCCCCGGGAAACCCCTCACACTGCTGTACACATGACAGCACGGGTTTCTTCCTGCTGAAGTCTCCACTCTGATATCTGCCTTTACTTAGGYCACAAATCTGTCACGGTTAAAGCACCACACTTCTCAGCAGATAGATTCCYCCGTGCATGTCTGWGTTTTTGGCCATTTGACTACCTTTACGTGTTTGATTGGGAGTAAAATTTTCATCACGCAACTACATTAATGAGAATGGATTTTGYAGGTTTGGATGAACCATGCAGAGGCCTTTACTGTGGAAAATACACCACAGTCTTGCACCATTTGTAAAGGGACTTAATCCAGTGAGTTTTAGGGCTACCCCAAAGCTTCCTTTTAGTGAGACATGTTTGAAACCATTGTCCTCAAGTCRGAAAAGGGTGGATTGCTCTCTCCAAGTTGGGGATAGGTTCGGCCTCAAGCGGAGGAGTTTAAGTATCTTGGGGTTTTGTTTACGAATGAGGGAAGAATGGAGTGTGAAACTGRTAGATGTATGGGTTCAACTTCTGCAGTATTGTGGCTCTGTAATGGTCTGTTGTGGTGAAGAGGGAGCTGTTTTCTGTCTACTTTCCTACACTCACCCATCACCACAAACTCTGGGTAATGACCAATAGAACTAGATTCTGTATACAGGCAATCAAAATGATTTATTTATTTATTTATTTATTTGTTTGTTTGTTTGTTTGTTTGTTTGTTTGTTTGTTTGGCAGGGTAGCTGGGCTCTCCCTTAGAGATACGGTGAGAAGTTCATTTTTCTTCAAGAAACTCGTAGGGCCACTGCTCCTCCACACTGAGAGGAGTTACGGTGATTCGGGCATCAGGTAAAGATGCCTCCTAGACGCAGACATGTCCAACTGGGAGCAAACACACTCGTTTGGCCTGGGAATGCCTTGGAATCCCCCCAAGAGAGCTAGAAGAGGTGACTGGAGAGAGGGAGGTCTGGGCCTCCCTGCTCTAGTTGCTGCCCCCRCAACCTGACTCAAGAAAAAGCGGAATACAGTTGGATGGATGCCTGAAACATCTCCTTTGCAAGGTGTCTAGAAGGGATCCTGACCAGATGCTTCCTGAATTGCCAAACTCCTCACCCTGTTCTTCATGGTGAGTCGAGTCACTCAAGGAAGCTTGTTTCAGCTGCTTGTATTTGAGATCTCGTTCTTTTGGTCATTACACAGATCACGACTCTAGGTGAGGTTGATGGTTGGAGTGTAGATTGAATGATGAACTGAGAGCTTTGACCTTTGGCTCAGCTCTCTCTTCAGTCACCAGAGATTGGCACAGAAATTCACGAAGAGCTCATCTCCTTGGTGACTCAGATGCTCACAGCTTCATTGTTACTCACAGCACATATAAAGAATTACTTGGATTTTTTTTATAGAACTAGCTGTCAACCAGAGTCAAACATGAGTTCTCATGTTAAAATTATACAAAACATAATCTGGGAAACAAGTCACAGTTTCTCAGTGTTGTGGATGGACCTTCCTGTCATAAACCCTCCTTTATGATTGTTTATCTTTTCATTTTTAACCTCATTGTCACTTATGTCAATCCTTGATTAAAAAATTTGAAGCTTAACGAGTCATAAATTCTCCAACCACCTTCATTTCTAGTGTTTTTAACCTTCTAGATACTAATGAAAAGACCTCACTTTCTCCTTCTAAAAATTCAACTTTTAATAAAGATTTAGGGATTTTACACAGCACATAATCAGAACAGTACAATACCATACAAGACATRGACAAACAGTCTTTATGCAATTAACAACGAGAACATAGACAGGATAATAAAGCATATAATGAGAGGAAACCTTGGTTTTTTAATTTCAATCATCAATAGTGTTACTTTCAGAAAGCTCCAAAAGACTTCTGGCATGAACTGAACAGACACCAAGCACGGCATTCAATATCAACACTGCAGACGGCATAATCAAAGACACGATAGGCACAACCAAATGGCTTGATTTAACATGAGTTTGATGGCACAGAGCAGAAGGTTCAAGTAAWATGCTGGAATGTTCTGATGTTTCATTAAACTGCTTGAAACTTAAAGAAGTCATTGGGGAATTCAAAGATGCTTAATTAGCTCAAAAGAGCCTCTGGTGAGAATTGTCCATGGGGACAAAAACCTGCAAGATGGTACAAACAATCTGGCAGGCACTTTYCACCAAGGACAATTATGCAACCAATATAACTTTATTATTACATATTTGTCTTTTGCAGAAAGTTTTCTACAACAGTTAAGTAAGAGGTCTACTTTAATAGACCTAGCTTAGAGGCCACAGTAGYTCAGTGGCCATTGCCATAATCTTGTAATCCTGAGGCTGCAGGTTTGAGCCCAGGTTGTGTCACAAAGGGTACTGTATCTGGTGAAAAACAATCACCAAATCTTTTGTGCGAGTTCACTTGCTATGATGACTTGGCATGTTTTAACCTAGTTTAATTTATGCATGGATTTACGGAGCCTGCCCKGTTACATTGGATTAATAATAATGATGCGTGTCCATGAGATAATAACTGGTGACTGAGAGAGAGTWAATGCGTGGCCTCGAGATATTTATTGCTGTCATTTCCAATCAAAAACTGTTGATTGATTGAACATGAATGAGTTTGAATTATWTTAATTTTATTTTGATAAAGAAATGAATGACACACAGCCAGATCCAGATGACCTCTGTATGGTGTGGCGAGTTGGTAATTTACCACACCACATTATAAATGGCTGGATTTAGGTGATTAGAAATAAATAAAACCAACATAATTTATTCTGAGCAATTCACTGTAATATGTCTTGTTTAAAGATTTTATCAGCTCTCATTGAATTGATTTGAAAACAAACTTTAGGATCAGGCATTATTTTATTACACATTTGTTGAACTTGTATTTGGGAACAAAAGCCCATCAATTGAAAAGTAATTATTATTTAATTGAATAAGTGATTTTAAGAAACACGTGCAAAAACAGTCACCCTGCAAAAATAATGCAAGATGCACAGTCCTGTTTTGTGCCACATTGMAGTTGACATAACATTAAAAACACACAGTTACATCATGCAGAGGTGAAAACAATGTAGCATCATTCATAACAAGTGTTGTTTCCTCCCTCTTTCCTTTCACTTTCATCATCTTCTCCTGGCTGCCATCTACTGCTTAACATTCCCACCACTTTCTCCAACATTTTCATCACCTTACCTTGACTCACAACTCTAAAGCCGTCACAGCTTTTTGACTGATTCTCCTTCGACCTCGCTGCACGCATGGAGGAATTACGACCGTCTTGTGTAAACTTCATGCTCTTTTTTAAATGACTCCCACCTCCTTGAGAGGAAATGGTTGAGTTTAAAGTGACCTGGCTGTTTTAAGAGAATATGCACACAGTAGCTTGTGCTCACAAAATATGCGACATTAGATCGCTAACCTCAGCAGTTTGCAGCATTTCHGAAATTGTAATTTTCCTTTGAGCACTATAAACATTCCAGCTAATAATCTTAAGACTGTGATTTATTTGGCTTGCTGTACTGAACTCAACCCAATACCAAACAAAAACTGGTGCTCAACTGATGGAAATAAATGTGTTTGCTGTGGAGGTGGTTTTAAAAGACCGTACATTCAAATTCCCATGACTTARTTTGCCTAAAATCTTCTCAGCTCCACAAAACTCAATTTAATATCTAATAAGCCTTTTAAACATTTGGTTTGTAGTCTCAATTTTTTACAGTGGACAATTTCTTTAGTACGTTGGAAAGAAGATTTGGAGAGCAGAAGAAACTACCAATAATATTAATATTCAATGTGGGCTGAATTGGAAAACACTTCATTATAAGSTTATTTAACTGTAAACTTGATATTATGCAACATTCCAACTCTGCTTTTGAATAGATTGCATCTTGTGTTGCAATTCTCCTGTGGATCTCCATAAAAGTGTTGGCAAGTTTATTAAAAATATTAAGTTATTGCACGGCCTCTGCTCACATCATGTTATTATGTGCCATCATTTCTATTTTTCATTGTTACCCCCCTTTCCTCACGAAGTTTTTGTGTGTTTACAACTTTCTCAATCAGCATTAATATGGCCAGATGATATTTTCTGTAAAAATMTCTTATTAACGAGTCATTGGGGGCGCTTATGTTTACTGCAGGGCTCYCCCGGGTCTTTGGTTGCTCCACCATAAGCTCCGATCCCGTTCTCAGTCCAGGGTACCACAATGCCCTCGGTTACTGAGTTGCATCGAGCCAAGCTGGCAACCTGGGCAGATGACAGGATCCGATCCCAAAGGCCCACCTGAGACAGTTCTCCGACCAAAGCYTGGGTTGAGTCAAAACCTCCACCCAGAGAATCCTAGAAGAGAATCAAAAGGCTGTTAGATAGTTGAAATTATCAGAAATTAAAATTATTGCACTCTTTGTTTTTAGCTACTTTCATGCTTTAGGCAAAACAGTGACCTTCTGGAAAGTTAATGTGAAATTTGATCAAACTGGACTCATTTCAATGCAAGTCAGGGAAGTATTTTGGAAGAATTCTTCTGGTCCTTTAGGCCAGTCGTTCCCAAAGTTGGGGTTGGGACCCAAAGTGGGGTCCTGAAACAACAAGGTGGGGTCCTGAAAAGATTTTCTGAATTAATTACATTTTTGCCTTAGTTGTTACAAAGGAGTGAGGTAAGTATATTTAAAATG